CAAAGCAGCCTGTCTTACGGGACAGGTGGTAATAGGGGTTTTATGGGTGATGGCTGATGGGGATGTACGCTACTAGCCGAAAGAAAGTCTTGTTTGAACAGGTGAATGATCGAAGTTGGCTCGCTCTCCGTTCCGTTATTACAAAATGGGTCTCCAAAGGCAGTATAGTGGTAACGGACGATTGGAAGGCGTATAATCGTCTTCCCTCAGAAGGTTATCTACATTTCTATGTTAACCACTCAATGAACTTCAAGGAACCTACCACCGGACGGTACGCCAATGCCATTGAGGCATACTGGAGTAGACTGAAAAGGAAACCCCACGAGGTAGGCCCAGTATGTGGTCGAGTTGTGTGGGCTCACATAGACGAAGTACAGTGTCGTCTTTGGTTTGGCCTCAATGCCATGTCTTTGACAGACGCCTGGGAACTGTTCCTGTCCCATGTTGTGCAGACTTATCCTATTTAAAAGTGATTTTGTTTTGTAATAAACTGCCATAATGCGAATGTATTCCGTATATTCGGTTGTACTTGTGTAACGATGAGGAAGGTTGGGTAACAGCGACCATCGTCCATGTAACCTCCTGCGATGTTCGTTCGGCCAGCCCATGTTAGGCCGTCGCGGAAAGTCCAATTAGTGCGTGAAAGTAGGCCTGCAACCGCTGATATAGCCTGAAGGCGTTTGAGTCCACTGTTAAAGGTATTATTTCTAGGTAACGGATTTTTTTGAGTGCCATCTCCCGATCGTTACCGAGAGCTCAGTCAATCGATTTGTCGATCTGACGTCGACGTACAGAGTCCTGCGCAGTCAACTCAGGTATTGCGTCATCGATCGATGATCGGCTGGCAACCCCTGTAATTGTCGCTCGTTCTGTTGCTGCTGCCATCTCTGACGATCGACTCCTGCGTGAGTTCGGAAGCTCAGAACGATAAATAAACTATTCTGGTACTCGGCCAGTCTCCTTCTTTACTTATACTCAATCCATCTTATAAAAAGGATTGCTCATGGCCGGCTTAATAAGGACCAAGGTGTCGCACCTGTTAATACGAATGTCCAACCCGATACGCGCATAATTCCGAGGAGTAGACTAAGCAGAGTTGTCTATCGACAAACACAAACTGCCAAGGGAGTTGTGAAAACTCGTTGAGAACCTTAATGAGCCAAAAAACTGAATCATCTACAAGTGTGGAGTCCGTTTTTAGGATAGTTCGAATGTCTGCCGTAAACACACCAAAGCCGACTTGTTTGTTGCTGGAGAAACCATGTCAAAGATGCTTGCCCTTAATTTTGGCCGGTTAAATTGTGCTGCATTTCACTTAGAGATGGCGCGGTTCATCCTGCAATCGGGATAGATCACTGGGTGTCATTCACGCGTGTCCTTAAATAATTACTGATCGCAGCCGAGAGGGCAAGATCCTGTGGCCTTGTGACAAAGCGTCAACTTACTGGACAGCTGAATCCGGGTTCAAACCTTGAGTATGTCAAAGACGAATTTTTCAGAAATGGTCATCCCAGCCTAGCCGGACTTTCCTGGTAATAGCCTTCCTTGAAACCGTGAAAAAAGCTAGTAGAGACGTGACACACATGCTAATGGTTCTTTGGGTCTCACAAGGTCACATCTCGCTACAACCCCACTTCTAGAAGTCCAAAACCAGAGAAATCGGGTTAGTCGGGCATAACATGCAAAAGGCTGAATGTTATTACCGACAAAGACAAGGGAACCTGGAATGGCCATTTCTGGTATATTAGCCGTCGTCAACCAGTCATACCCAACCCCGAGGTGTGGAACACCTTGGTCTCGATCCCATGGCCTGTTGGTTAGAAGTCCAACGCCTCCATATCATGCGCCGCTATGTGGCTGCTGGTTCGGCTCGAGAGAGAGAGAGCCCGTAAGGCACAACGGGACGACTGAGTTCCGTAGAAACGATCGGTGAGCACCCCTCTACCATTGTAGAGTTGTTCCGCAGACTCGATCAGCTTCAGTTCACTAAATGTCGGCTCTGACGGTGGACCAATTCGACAAGATGATTGGAGAAAAGTTATCGGACCATCGAGAACGGACTCGAGCTGGGCAGCCAAGACCGCCTTCAGGTGACAATGAAAACGTGCAACCAGACCATTAGTCTGATGGTGGTATGACCTCGTACGAATACGGGTGGTAGCAATTGTCTGAACGAGGCGGATGGGAACTGCAGACCACGGTCGGTCAGCACAACCGAATGGACTCCAAGGTCTGTCAAAAAAGATTCCCCTATCGTATCCGTTGAAATCTACGGAATCGATACGGCGGTGAGCCACCGAATGGGACGGTCATTGCATGCCAGCAAATGAATATAACTGGCCAGATATGGGCGTGGACCTACCAGATGAAGATGTATGTAACTGTAAGGAGCGCCAGACATGACTTAACTGCTTGCAGGGGGGGGGGTAGACATAGTGTGTCTATGGTCCCTTCAGCCTTGATACGCTAGACGGGGATGGGCCCGACGCCGTACGTGCCAGTTGATGTCGGACGAGACGGATCCTTCACTGACGAGATCCTCTGTCATCCGGAATCTAGAGTGGGATTATCGTACGAACACAAAGACGTTCGTTGCCGGTAGGTACATCTTAAGAAACATAGTCAAAGCTAGTGAGGAGGCGAACGCTCCGATGGAGAATGACTGATTTGTGCAGGTTGCGAAAACGTCGGAGGTCGTTGTCGGTCTGTTGTGCTGCAGCCACCGCCACCAAATCGACAGATTAAACCGGCGTCAAAGCATCGAGTTCGATTTGTGCTGGAGCATTGTCAACCGCTCAGACCTGAGAAAACTATGGCATGTCTCAGCTGAGGTAAGCTTCTTATTAAAGAAGGCTATGTACAATTTGTTGAAAGGTCGCGCCGACGTCATTCTTGGAGGCCGGGTTGGAGAAGGAGGGTTGTCTTCGTTGGTGGCGCTTTGAAGATAGCGGAAAGATGGGGCAATCGAAGTTACGACCACCACTCATGAGAGGCTGTATCTACCACAAAACTTACGGAGGTTTACAGTCATTCAGTTTCTTCCCCGCGAGAAGCTACCATAATCGGCGTTCCAGCGTCATAGCGACGCGCTTAATGAGAGCATCCTCAAGTTTGTTGTAGGATGTCACTGATCACAAGGCTCCTCGGCACTGGGGAGGAGTAGTTTTCGTGTCCTTAAGTGATATTTCAGTACGTGACCTAACATTCCAAATGTGCCCAAATGTACGGAATATCTCTAATTGTATTTGTACTTGGTACGGCCGCGATCATGCCTGATCTAGCCAGCCTCGATGATGTCCCGAACTGTACCTCTCCACGCGTGACGATCCGCGGCAGCAGATCCGGACAGCTCAATCTATTCCCTTCGCCAACGACGGAGATCGAATACCGAAGGTCCAAGAACCACCTCCATGTCTTGACGAACTGTGTCGAGCCAGGTTTTCAGTCGACCCCCTCTTCGACGCCTCCGACGGGGTAACGGTGCCGGATCGAGCGCCGTAACACTGAGCTCCTGAGGTGGACGACGAAGAACATGTCCAAACAACAGTCTTCTTTCTTCGATGGCCTGGGTTATCCTTAAGAAGTTGTCGCAGCGAGCGCGGACTGTCTCACCTAAGACGAAGTCGGTATACTTCACCCAAAGGATAGTCCTCAAGCAGTGGTGGTCAAAAGCCTTCAGTTTTCGCTCGTCCTCCACGCGCAAAGCCCAGCATTCACAACCGTAGAGAAGGACAGACCGGACAGATGCACGGTACACGCGAATCTTAGTGGCGATGGAGAGGTCGCGTCGGTTCCACAGGCATTTTCTAAAGCTTGAGAAAACCCGTCGAGCAGCATCGATTCGGGAGACAATGTCGTTCTCACTCCGTCCATTAGGCAGCAGCCTCGCCCGAGGTATTTAAAACTGTCTACTTCTTCAAGTTGACAGCTATCAATCCCGAGAGGTGCCTTCTTCTGGTCAGGGATGCAGCTTGGAAACACCTTAGTCTTCCCAGCGTTTATGGATAAACCGGCCGATTGAGTGACCTCGTTCACCCGTGACACCATAGACTGCAGATCACCAAAACTTGACGCAAGTAAGGCAATATCACTGGCATAGTCGATATCAGTCAGTCGGTGTCCGGGTACAAACTCAACACCGTCATCTTCGTGTAGGGCCCTCCCGAGAATCCAGTCAATTGCGTAGTTGGAATGAATGGCTGACAGGATACAACCCTGTCGAATGCCAGACCGAATACCAAACGGTTGAGAAAGATTGTTGTGCACCAGAACTCGCACGGACAGCGGCCCAAATGCATCGACTACCATTCTCAGTTAATGTATGCCTCCACCGTTACCGCTCAGCGTAAGAAGCTATCACAATCGGCGTTCCAGCGTCATAGCGACGCGCTTAATGAGAGCATTCTCAAGTTTGTTGTATGATGTCGTCGATCACAAAGCTCTTCGGCACACCGGTCCAGATAAAGTGCACTGAAGAGGAGTAGTTCTCGTGTCCTTAAGAGTGATATTTCAGTACGTGACCGAACATACCAGATGTGCTTATAAATGCACGGGATATCTCCAATTACGCGGGCACTGGCCCAAATGTATCGACTTTCACTTAATGCATGCCTCCACCGTTACCGCTCAGCGGACTATGTAAAGTACAACACTTCGTCCACAAATGCTGTGAAAAGAACGGTTGTGTGGTTTCCTTCATCCCATCGCATATCGCAGACCCTCTGACGCAGGGGGGGAGGGGGGTGAGGACGGGCCGACCAAAGGAGACAGAAAACTTATTGTGCACCGGTGGAACAGACACTATCGTTAGCAAGTGGAACTGTCGATGCAGTTGTGCATGTTGCACGTGCTGTTCAGTGTGATGGGCATTAGGCGCCTTGGTAGCCAGTTAAGACTCATAATAACTGACAGGGTGGCTGACCAATGAACTTGGTTGTATGGCACCTGTCGGTCTACATCTGTCTAGTCCGAGTAACTGCTTCGGGCTACTTCCTGCAAAAATGGCGAGAGGCAGTGGTGGTGGTGGCGGTGATGATGATGATGATGATGATGGTGGTGATGATGATGATGATGATGGTGGTGGTGGTGGTGGTGGTGGTGGTGGTGATGATGATGATGATGATGATGATGATGATGATGATGATGATGATGATGATGATGATGATGATGATGATGATGATGATGATGATGATGATGATGATGATGATGATGATGATGATGATGATGATGATGATGATGCATCAGCAGGAGTGGCCATCCACTGCTGGTCATCGAATACTAAGAGGACAGTCCGCCTGTTTCCTACTTCCGGCTTGAAGCCCAACGTCGGTGCCGCAACATCTAGAAATACCACAGACGCACACGCCATTTTCTGGAGGGAAAACACGTCGCAGTACCGAGAGGCCCTCGTGTTCGGTTCAAAACCACCAGGCTTAATATGCTACTAAAGAGAAGAGGGATCAGACGACAAGCCGATCTACGTTGCGGCAGTAGGCGCCTGTGTGGGCTACGCCATGGTCTGCCACCAATTAGATTCCAGTCCCACGACAGACCGGCCCGAGCGAACAGAACTCACTTTGCCCACACTGGATTTTCGGGCAGCAGGAAATCATTCAGCACTACCAAGAGGCTGCACTGACTCGTCCGACTCGTTTAGCGGTCGATGGTTGAGAAAGCACAACAGACGACTAGACCCCAGAAACACTGACCAAAGCGCTTAACCGTACGTGTAACTAGACAAGTTGCTGCAAGTTGAAACATAATTCTGAGTTACTTTGCCGTTTTATCGATTGGTCGGCCTTTGGCGAGTCCACTGGCGAAACCCGAACTACCTAAACAGTATGCGCTTGATAAAATGATATAAAATGCCCACTTTTAATTTGTTAGCCTAACGGGAATGAGAGAGAATAAGTCTAGTTCTCGCAGTCATTCCGCGTTAAATCACGCCTTCTAGGAATTGAGTGGACATAATGGAATGCCTCAGGCCGAGAACAAGTAGCAAATACTTCCTGCGGTAGCAGTTCGAACAAGCACGGCAGATACATCATAAACCCTAATGATGATAGTTCGGCCGGCACATGATGACGTCCACCGCGTGCCCCACGGTGACTTTCACAGCACCTGCCTCACCCTCTCCACCCCCGCCCATCAGGCCCCGATGGCAGGATGATGTTGGATTGACCGGGTACGATTGCGGGCCCTTGTCCTAGGAACATGGAGGAAATCAAACCCAAGAACCGATGGAGTATTGCTCATTTTTAAAGTACCCCGCGCACTTTCGGGAGATGGAACGGGCTCTTCAAAATCCGACCCAAGTTGTCACTGTCACCTGAGGCGTGGGGAACACGCTCAAGCAGATAATTCACCACTGATAAAATCACCGTAAGTTGGTGAGGAAACAATCAAAAGCTACCATGACAAACTACATTAGCTAGCCTGGGTTGACGCCTGATACTTGCGAGGACTGACCTCATCTACGTCTGAGAAAGCATAACGGAGTTTTCATCCATTGTTCCATGGGTTGCGGTGCATACTGAACGCCATGAAACCCACGAGCCTACCATCGGGTCGAACACGACCACTGTCTCTGGCTTACAATTAAAGGAACCTGCCGAGCAGAGGCCAGAAATACCAACCTCAACTCCACCTGCACTGCCGTCCAGTCTCCTTTTCTGGGCGCCTTTGTGTCATATTCCACGCAAAGACAGCCACCTGGGCGAACTTATAAGTAGACACTGACCCATGAAGGCTTCCTTCTAACGCCCCTCGTGAGCTTCCAACAGGCGCTACGGCTTTAGCTGCAAC